GGGGCAGAGGGGGGGGGGCAGGACCATCCCGTGCGGTGCGCCCGTCGAGTCTGCGTAGCTCGTAGGGGGACTGACCAGTGACACGGCGAGGACGTACTACCACGTACCGGGTGGATCAGAGCAAAACAAGTGTGTGGCAGGCTTGTCTATACTCGCAGGGTGCCATCGCCCCCTGCAGCAAAAGAGGGTAATGCAAACCTGCAACATGTGTCGGCTGATACATCCGGTACAAATAGACTAGCATTGAGCTATCGGAGTGGGGATTAGTGGTCCGCTGCAAATAAAGGCTTTGCTCCTGCCATGCACGAAAGTACGTCCGCTCTTTCTCGCATTAATTTAGGCAAATAGCGTGAGTTTAGCGCCTGCGAGACTCAGGGTCGGCCATCCCGCAGTACACGCATGCACTCAAGGCAAAATGTTGCCTACCTATCAGGCGCTATGAGAACACTCACAGGCTCAACTTGGCAGGTTCGTCACGGCGAATGACGGACGTACTTTCTGGATGACCTCAAAGATTAGGTGAGAAATGGAAGCGGTTTGTGAATCATCAAGATACCAAGACTCTAGACATCATACCAATAATAAAGTTTCAACTGTAAAACGAAAAGAGCAGAAGTAAATTGTAAAAGCTCGGCTAACAAGTTTAACAGTTCGATTGTCAGACATGGCTGTCAGCCGCTGTCAGTAGACTTTATTATTTGAAATTTTGTCACGCAATGGACTTTCCTAGGGAATCTCACTACCCAGTCGGAGAAAGATAGGAAACTTGAACTATTTAACGTTGGGCCGCTTTATGTTCATAAGAAGTGCAGCTACGAAGCTGAGCAAGTTTTGTACACGAACAATACTTAGCTTAAGTAGTCTGACACATTTGTGTTGGGATAGAGATATGTTTGTCAGTATTCATTTCTGGACTGCAAATACATGGTTTACTTTCTGAAATACAGGGGGTGTTCACAAAGAAACAGCTGAGCTGAGAGCACACTTAATATTCAGGCACTCAAACACTGTGACGTCACATTCAAACGCTGTGACATCACACGCCTGTGACTCGTGTCACATTGCTTAGAACTGTGTCAGAATCTGTATGTGACATAGCTAGCTATGCATGCCATGCACGAGTTAAAGGTACGTCACGTTCGAACGATATTCTAAAACAACCGTTTAGAAGTACGTGGTTGACTAGTCACACACTTTAATTGTCAGATATTCATGACGTACGGAACAGAGAAACTCATTTAAAGGCACCGAGGGTGTTTTTTTTTTGTTTTTGTTATTGAATGCATATATAGCAGATGACTATAGGTTACTCGCATTGCACACGCGTTCTGGTCTGATATCATAAACCAAAGTGCATTTAGGTTTCCGACAGCCACCTTGTGGTCAATACAAAAAGTAACACCGGCATGCCTATGCAGAATTCAATGTCAGTTTACAGCTCATCACAGACGGAATACAGTTATCTTTTGGAACTGACCCCAACTCACGTATGGAAGCTTACGGCATCTACTGACCCCAACAGCAGCAGCCAATTAGCTGGCTCCAAAAAATGGCTTACAAAATAAACCACAGACATTTTTAGTTTTCTCTTTCGAAAGGTTAGGTCACGTGGTGACCACGACAACCCGCGTTACGCACCTTGGCACAGTTTGCAGCGCTTAGGTGGCGGTGAATCGTCGGCTTGCAGGGAGCTTACGGGCATCCTGACAGGCGGGTGGCCTGCCTCACGTGCGAACCCTTCGCCTCACGCCGCGCCGCCGCGTGCCGCGCGAGCTGCGCCAGGTCGGCTCGCCGGCCGCACCGCGCGCGCTCCGCACTCGCTCTCGCACTCGCTCTCCACCACAGGCGCCACAGGCCCGGCCGGCCGGCCCGCGCGGCAGCACGCACTACATGGCGGCGCTCCGGGGCGGGGCCACCCTCCTCCCTCAGCCCATCGGGCCGTCAGGGTGCCTGGCGGGCATGGAACGGGGCCCTCGTCACGCCCTCGTCACGCGCGCGACGCACCGGGACGACGTGACGGGTGCAGCGTGACACGCGCGCGCGCGCGGCGACTCGCGGTGTGCGTGACAGTCACGGCAGCGGCCACGGCTCACTCACGGCGGCGAGAGCACGACCGAGCAGACGGCGCGAGCGGTTTGGTCCCAACTGTTGGCTTGGCGCCCCGCACCGGCCCGTGAGCCCTCCAACCCCCGGCGCACCGCGCCTCGCCACTCTGAGCCCCGCCGCGCCCCGCCACGCCACGCCCCGCCGCGCTTCACCACGCCACGCCACACCACGCCCCGCGCCCAGCCCTGCCGCCCTACGTCCACTGCACTCTGGGCTCGGCGCGGCTCGGCAGCGCACGCGGCTCCCGTAGCTCCGCGGGCGCGGCGCCCACACGGGAGGCCGCACCGCGTCCGGGACTCACGGTGCGTGCGTACTGGAACTCATTTAGTTGAGAGTAAACTTTGACATACACGTCATACATTAAAGCGCGAATCGATTTAAGAAAATATATCTACTGCTGCGCATCTTTCTCTGAACTATAGTTAAAATTTAACTAAATTAAATTAACTATAGTTAAAATTACATTTTTAACATCCTGCAACAACAGCACACAGGATGACGCATCAAGGTGCTCATCGTCGAGGAGATTGAAATGAGTCGAGAGTCGACCCAAAATTCAAAAATTTATGAAAAACCATGTGTATTAGCTTGAGGGCTCATTTATATATTTTTTTCAGCACACTGACGTGGGTGTTAGTGTAAAGCAGGCTTCCATCATGGAGGGGAGAGGGCGCGGCGGCGCGGCGCACATTGACTCGGTCGCGAAGTCAAGACCCGGGCCCGGCAACCGCGGCCACCACGTCACGTCGGCGGCGACGCCCCCAGCAGCCACAGCCACGCCGTGCCGCGCCAACGCGCCGTCTCACGTCGCCGAGCCCCGCTGCGCTGGGGATGGGATGGGGCTCCGCCTCGGGCTCCGCCCCCGCCGCGCCAGGTCCCACGGGGGCCGCCCTGTCGAGCCCGCCCGCCTGCAGCAGGTGCAGGGGGCTCGCCCGAGACCAGCCACTTGGACTTGGGCCCCACCACCATACTCAAAACACTTAGGGTACAATCGTTTATTGTTACTTCTTACGTAGACTAGACCGCGGACTAGAAAGTAGTGTACTTCGAGGTGCACTTCTAACAGCTTCTGACTCATGCTATAAGCTCTTTTGTTGAGTACAAACTGCTAAAAAGTCATCACTACATTTAATAAGGAAAAGTAGGGTGGGTGTGGTTCAAGGTGTTGTTTGAAATAAGTTCAAAATGAGGCGTCGTCATACTTTTGTTTGCCTCCTTCCAAAGTGCCAGCCTCCCCGCAGCCACCAGCCCCACCCGCGGCCGGCGCTGGCGGGGCGCGTCGAGTACCCCGCGTACTAGAGCGAAGTGCGGCGCGCGCGTAGAGTAACCGCGCCTCGCCAGTCCTCCGTCCGTCCTCAGTCAATGCTGTTCATCTTGGCCCGCACCAGAGCAACATCTCGTCCGGGGCGGGGCGGGGCGGGGGGCACAGGCGCATTAACGTCGCCATGATTTCTGGGGGGAATAAGACTGAGCAGGCGGGTCACCCCACCGCACAGCTCGCCGGCCCGCGAGCCCAGCGTCACCAGCCGGCATGAGGCGGCAGGGTGCGGCAGGGGCTGCACCCCCCCCCGTCCTCCGTCCCGACTAACCTAGTTCCAGCTAGACTGACACTTCTGCGAAGCTATAGGGAGCGCGTGTGAGGGTGGCGCAAAGCTCGGCTCACCGGCAGCCAGTCGCGTCGCACCTCCGCGGCGGCGGGGCGGGGCCATCAGAGTGTTAATTCGCCAGCTTAGACCCCCTCTCATCCCCTCTCTCCAATCGCTCACAACTCCCTCTCTCTGACGGCGAGTAAACAAACAGCCCGCCGAACTGCAGAGAGCGAGTGTCAGGGGGGAGGGCCACGACGTCGAGCCGTCAGCGGCCGGCGGCGGCGGCGGCGCCCCTCCCCCGTGTGTGCGCTGAGCCGCCCTCATCACCTGGGGGGCCAACACGCATGCGCGGGCACAACTGCACCACCAGGCGGGCACACTATAGCTCCACTGTGCCCGCTCTCTGTACACTGCACTGCAGCTACCTACCGCCCGGTGGCGGCGGCGTCGCTGTGCGGCTGGGCCGCCCCCGCCCGCCCCCGCCCCCCGCGGTGTGGCGCGCGTGCTGTTGGTCGCCGCGCCTCCTTGGGACGCGCTGACCCGGTGCAGCGTGCCGCCGCCGCCACCGGGAGGGAATGTCCTCCTGAGCTCGCGTTATTTCGAAGCTGTTTGTCTAGGAGTCTAGGAGGGAGGCGCGGCGGCGCCGGCGCCGGCACGCTGTTATGTCAGGTCAGATCGCCCGGCCGAGCGGCAACGATACAGCCACCACACCCATTTTTCATTCTTTTCATTCGTTTCAAAAATTAAAAAGAATAGGCTTTTCTCTCTTCCCTTTTCTTCTTTTTGTTTTTGTTGATTTCAGTAACACACGGTGCATCAAAAATTCGCGGTTAAAATATTTTTCCCTCAAGCCTTTGTTTTGTTTTTGGCTTCATTTTCTTGTTGTTCTCGTTTTCTGTCGTCGAAGCAAACTACACCCTCCACCACTCACCTCACTCATTGCGGCGGTCGGTGTCGTTCGGAGGTCGCCATGCACGCGCCGCCTGTAGCAAAAGAAACAGATCGTTACGAGGACTTGCGTCACGAAAAACAAAGATCGAACAGACAATATACCTTCAAACACACAAAGCCGGCGCCCTGCTCCGCAGCCCGGCGGCAACACTTTTCCTCCCCCATGATGGCGCACGGCGAGCTCTCGGAACTGCCGCCGCCGGGAGCACCTGCCGGTGGGTGGAGGGGGTGGTGGTGGTATTTGCTAGGAGAACGCCCCCAAGGGACGCCCGGGCGTTCCTGCTGCTAGGCTCACTGCAACGCGTTTAACTGTGTTTTCACGAGTGTGTGCGCGCGCGCGTGTGTGTGTGTAGTGTTGGATCGTTCCGGTTTTGGCGATTGTTTACACGAAAGCATTGCTTGCTACACACAGCGAGCCCGCGCGGCGCTGGCTGGTCGAGCCTCGGGGCATTCCACACCACACTGATGGCCGGGGTTCCGATAGGAGCACGATGAGGCAGTGTAGGGGCGGTGCATGGGAACGGGGCGGTGCGGGGGGT